GGATAGTAATGGCCAGCAGATGCTACTATGTGTCTGAGCAAACAACTCAAAAGCAAAGCCCCCTCCCGCCAGACCAAACTCACACTCTACAAGACGCTGATACTACCCGTGCTGTTATATGGATCTGAAGCATGGGTACTTACGCATGCAAATGAGGTAGCTCTTGGAGTGTTTGAGAGGAAAATTTTTTGAAAGATCTATGGGCCGATCTGCGTTGACGGTGAATATCGCCGTAGAATGAACCATGAGTTGTACCAGCTATTCTCGGACATCGACATTGTTAGACGTATGGAGATGCAGCTAGGTCATGTTGTGAAAATGGATGAAGATGCCCCAGCCCAGAAGGTATATAAAAGCGAACCAGCTGATGGTTCACGCAGAAGGGGAAGGCCACGAATAAGAGGAAAGACCAAGTGGAAGATAACATTGCCGAATATGGTATTTCAAATTGGAAAAAGACCGACGCGCCTGAAAATCTTTTTTAAGCTCGGCTTATGGAACGAAAGTTCTGTCACAAGACAGCTAAGAGAATAGATCTATTCAAGGCGTAGATTCTTAAAAATAGTTTTTGAATTTCCAAAAATATTTTTTGAATATATTTTTTTTCTGAATTTTTAAAGAAGCATGTTTTCAACATATATAGATCTCGGATTTTTTATCACCCACCTTTAAGTATACCGATCGTCATATCTCGACTAGCTGAGTTGATCTAGACATGTGTGTCCGTCCGTCCGTCTGTCCATTGTAATTTGTAAACACGATACAGGCCACATTTATGGACCAATCTTCACGAAATTTTGCATGCAATGAAGAGCCCTATTGTTTTTGGAAAAGATCGGTTAATATTTAGGGGATGAAATGGACCATAAACTTTATTTTTGTCGGGTTTTCTGGTCGCTCCTGAAGCCGCAATTATGACCCAAACACCACGAATTTTTGCACGGAGAAGGGGATCGGGCCAAAGAATAAGTATGGCTGTTTTGATAAAGATCGGTCAATATTTAGCGGGTCAAATGGACCCTGACTTTTGTGTGAAAAATTACAAAATTTGTATTCTATGGGGTATATATTTGCACCTGAAGGTCCTAGACCCGAGAAGTTGATAATATATTGAAGAGGAGTGGTTGACCTTTAAATTGATACCAATTATATTGTCGTATGTACTCGGATGCGGGACTTACACATAAATATTTACAGGTGCTTACGTATTCATACATTATATATTAACCCATTACCACACTAGAGGGCGGAAATATAGCGCTGATCGCTTTGAAATTTTCCATGAGGTTCAAGTTATGGTCACCGGCAACCCCTATAATTTTCGGTGGTGATCAGATAATAATTTTGGGATGAAGTGGACCGAAAACTTATTTTTTGGTGTTTTTTCGAGTCGATCTATAGGCCAAAATTGAAAGCCGAACATCACAACACAACCCACGGTGAAGGGAATCTGGACAAGTGATTAGAAGGGCTGTACTGAATATTTGTAATATTTGTTGACCTCTAGTCGGTCAAGAGGTTTCAAATATCGCGAAATATTACCCAAGCTCAGAATATAGAACCACAGAAAGTTATAGTTTCGAGGAAGTTGTGTAGGGTATCATATGGTCGGCCCCGTCCGACTATACTGCTCCGCTCACTGGTTTTTTATTATGGATTATGAATAAAAAAAATTGAAATAATATATAACATATATAACAATGTTATATATTATTTCAATTTTTTTTTATTTCTCGTGTTTGGCAGAATGCCAAATAGTTAAAGTGCGACACCAATTATTGACACAATTTTAATTAGCTAAACAAATTTTGATATTTCCAAGAAATTAAAGAATTGAATTTCGCGATTCTAGGAAATAATTCTTAACTATGTAGCTGATATCAATAAAAACAATTTTATGTTCAATACAAATACAATGAATTCAAATAAAACAATGACTTGGCACAATTTAATAGCACCTGTCCCCTTCTATATATTTTGCGTATGTTCTTTTTATTTATGCTTTAAACATAGATCTACAACAAATAATATTATTTGGCACTAATAAAAATATATACTAAACGAATTTGTTGTTGTAAAATTTCTGAGAATTCTGGGAATTAATATGTTGAGCAAGCAAACAAACATGCGACAGAAGGTCATTAACATTTAGAAGAGTGAGAGTAGATTATTTCACTCCTCAATATGAAATTGAAATGTTTAAAATAAAATAAAAAAATATATTTTTCCTATGTTTGTTGTTGTTGTCATTTTATTTTTTATATTTAAAAATAAATAACACCAAAACCCATAAATCATCAACAGACAGACACACACACAAAATTACTAACCAAGTGGGGTAACACCAGCACCACCACAAAACCGCAGTCTAAAATCACATAATATGCACCAGCCGGAGGAATGTCTATTCGTTATTGGAATATAATGTAATAATTAAAAATCCATAAGGAACTGAAAAACAAACGTAAATTGTTTACATACAAAGTCGTCGATTTAGACACAAAAAATAGTGCTGTCTCTTGAATATTAATGGACATTGATTAATCGCTGGACTATCGAAAATGCGTCACACAATATTTCAAATGAATGTGCAGTGATTGGGGATGCGTACTGCACTTGTGTCCCCTTGGGGGATTTAAATGAGAAGAATAAAAAAATAAATATTTTTTTTTTTGTTTAAAATCTACTCCTTAGATAGATCATCAAAAAATATTTTTAAACCAGTAAGGAAAGTAGTAAAGTCGGACTGGGCCCACCATACCATACCCTACACAACTACCACGGAACTCAAACTTTCTGCTGATTTTTATTCCGAGCCTGGGCAATATTTCGTGATAGTTGCACCCTCTTACCCGATTAGAGGCAAACGGCACCTCTTCCTTACATTAACATATTTGACATATTTTCCGAATATTTCTTATATTCAGTGCAGTGCTTCTAATTACTTGTCCATCTTCCCTTCACCGTGAGTTGTGTTGTGATGTTTGGCTTATAATTATGGCCTATAGATCGCCTCGAAAAAACACACACACACGAAATTCATTTTTCGGGAACTTCGTCCCAAAATTATTATCCGAAATTACAAGCGTTGTCCTTGGCCATAACTGGATCCTCATGGAACATTTCAAAACGTTCAGCGCTATATTTCCGCCCTTCAGTGTGGTAATAGATCACTAAACAATATCTGAATACATAAATACCTGCAAATATTTAAGTGTAACTCCCACATTCGATTATATACGATAATATAATTGGTATTAATTTAAAGGTCAACCACTATATTACCAACTACTCGGGTCTATGTCCTTCAGGAGTAAATATATTCCCTATAGAATAAAATTTTTTTATTTTTCACACAAAAGTCAGAGTCTATTTGACCCGCTAAATATTGACCGCTATGCCAAATTTCGTGCATATCGAAAGATATTTAGGGACTTTGGCGCACCATTTACCTTAAATCGGACGAAAATATATATGGAATCTATATCTAAAAGTGAACCGGTATTCACGAAACTTAACACACATCATTCTAAACTTTATTCAGTGCGCTATAAAAAATTTCGTGCAAATCGAAATATATAGAGGGACTTTGGCGCACTATATACCTTAAGGGTATTTTTGACAACAAACTAAATTAAACAAGTGAAAAAGCTTTAAGTTCGGCTGGGCCGAACTTTGGATACCCTCCACCATAGATATACTGACAGGTATTAGAAATGAAAATATAGGGAAAATACCAAAAAGTGGACCAATACCGACATTTCAAAAAACGGATTATGTAAACCATAATACAAATTTCAGAAATTTTTAATGAATAATTATACCCTCAGCCTTATGGTTAATGAGGGTGTAAACACATTAACACGGTGAAAATGTGACTCATCGAAATATTGGTTCTAGACCCCTTGTTTCTTTGGGCCAAATCCGTTTCAGAAAATTTAAATTTCATCCAAACTTTGCCCATCTTATTATTTCTTCCAAACTTAGTTCATATTCCAAGATGGGGTATAACGGAACTGGAACCTCCACACAGGGGCTAGGTTTAAATGCGGCTATAGTTCATTATCGAAACTTACGTTCTAATTGTTTATATAAAAAATTATGTTATATGGGGACTACCCCAAAAAGGGGGCGAATATTACTAATTTTTGGTAGGGAGATTTGTTACCATATACGACTACAAATTGCAGAAAATTCGGTTGAAAAACGCGCTCAAGAACCCCAAAATACCGAAAATTGGGGATAGCCTTATATGGGGGCTATCCGAAAAAATTGACTTATATTCATAATTTTTTTGTGGAAAGATTTGGTACCTATTAAGAACTCAAAATACTAAATTACAGCTAATTCGGTGGAAAAATACGATCAAAACCCCCAAAATACTGAAAATTGGGAGGTACCGTTATATGGGTGCTACGAGAAAAAGTGGACCTATATTTATAATTTTTTGTGGAGACATTTAGTACCCAATAAGAACCCAATGTAGCAAAATTCATCGAATTCGGTCGAAAGAACCCCAAAATACCGAACATTTGGGGGGTACCCTTATATAGGAACTAAACCTAAACCTGGACCGATAAAGCCCATCTTCGAACTTGACCTGCCTGCAGACAAAATACAACTCTATGCAAAAATTTTGACGATCTATCTCATTCTCGTTTAGACGCTAGAATGATTACAACAGACAGACGGACATGGCTATATCGTCATAGAATTTTACACTGATCAAGAATATATATATATATAAACAAAATTAATATAAAATAAGGAAGATCTTCAACGATTTGCTTTATCCTAGGTCATACGAGAGCTATACACTCCCAGAGAAACGTGTGAAAATTTGGAACCAATTGGATTATTAGTTTTTCTAGAATTAGAGTAGATTCGAATCAAATCAAAAAAAGACACCTTTTTTAAAAAATATACCGATTGTTTGGCGTATGGCTTATTTAATTTTTTTTAAATTCATTTAACTGCGAGAACAAACAAAGTTAACTTACATGAAATCTTCAATGTCAATGACCTGAGTATATTGACATGGTTCCTGGTTACTGTAGGGACCATAGCCATAACAATAGGCATAGGTCCATGGTTGATTGCCTTGACAAGGTAAAGAGGGTCGTGCGGAACCGGGCAAAGGGACATGTGGAGCATAATAATTGTTGTTTACGTGGCCATGTTGTTGTTGTTGTGGCATTCCTACATTGTTATTAAAGGGTATCATTGGTTGCTGTTGGTTGGCTTGCTGTGGCCACTGACGCTGAAATGTTGGTGGAGTTTGATAGACAACAGCATGGGAGGCAGTAGAAGGATGCGGTTGTTGAGGCATAATTTGTGGTTGTTGTTGTGATCTATAATCACCACCATTGTTACAAATATAATTTGGTGTTGCTGGGTAAACAATTTGGTGTTGTTGCTGTTGTTGTGGTGGTGGTACTGGCGGTTGTTGCACCATCAGAGGTTGTGGCTGCTGATTTTCACAACGACGATAAGGATGATGACGCGGAATTGTGGTCACAACAACATTTTGATTACAATTTGGAATTATTTCGGAACACGTATTGTACGCTGCAGCAGCAGCAGGACCTTGTTGATGCCATGCTGCCGGCAATTGGGAATTCTGATTGAAATTTACACACGTCTCACTAGATGGCGATATATTGCCACAACATATTTGGGAATTATTTGTGGAATTGGCACACAAAGGATTGGGATTAACATAATTCAGATTTGTTGTTGATGTTGTTGTTGTCACATATTGTTGTTGTTGATTTTCTTCGGCACAATCATTTAGGATGTCGTCATAGAAAGTGGTTTTATCATTTCGGGGAAAATAACAATTTTCCCACTCACTGCATGAATTAAACATGCTGAGGGATATTTGTTGTTGTTGGTTTTATTTTCTTTCACTTGTTGTTGTTTATTTATTTTTTCTTTCTTTCTTTCTGATTATTCTCATTCATTGCGTTATAATACCGAGTGTGATAAGAGCGATAATCTTTATTTTAGCGCGTAATTTTTTATTCCGTTTAATTTTTATAAACAAAAGATTTTATTTGGCATTTTGAAAAAAGAATTTCTCCGAAATTTGTGTTACGGGTCAAAGTTAACGAAAACATAGCCGTTAGGTTCCGTTTCAAAATCGCACAGCCGTTCGGTTACATTCCCAACGATTTTTTCCGCGGCCAAGGCAAAGACGTTTATACACAACCACACGACAAATTTCAAATGAGCCCGACAAATCACTACTATCGGACCTCAAGGTACTCCCTTCGTACACTTCTAATGTATGTTTTTTTTTTCTCTAGTTAACATACGATCGTCCACGAACAATTTGTCTGCTTCTTCTTCTTTCTCCAATTATTATCAAAACAAAAACTAAGTTAAAATAAAAATAAAATATTAAATAAAAATAAATCCCTAAGAATTTTAACAATAACAACAAAAATATTCTCTATATTTTTTGTTGCAATAACAACAACTACAACACCTGCACCAAGAACACCAGGTGAATAGACGCTCTGCGGAGACACAAAGACCTTAACTGGGTGAAACACAATTTCTCATCATAACAACAACACAGAATAGTATGGAGTTTTAGGAAGGCGGGGGTTTTACAGGTGACAAGGACGGTGGCGCTCGCTCACTCACAATCGCCAGTTATCTCCAAATACCCACCACAACAACAGAAGGCCAATATGAAAACATTTTCTTTCGTTATCAGTTCAAAATTTTAAAAAAAGCTTAACAGATAAGATACCACCACCAGCCGATCGGACCAACGAACGACCATTATCCGAACCAGAAAATCTCTTCGGCTAATATGGAACCAAGCATTGAATGAATCGTGTTGAAGTAGATTCATCATGTCAACATCAACATTATGAATGACGAGGAAGGTCTAAGATTTCATAATGGGTATATCCGATAATAAGGATACCCTACCTCAATTTTGAGGGTCTAGGTAAGGAGGGAATTTTTAAAGTCGGCCCGAAGGAGAACCCGTAAAAAGGCCTCCAAGAAGACCGATAAGACACAACAGCCTCTGTCAATCCACCCTTTGTCGAATTGACAAAGCCGATACCCAAGGCTTTGACAATTGGGCAGTCGGCTGGGCATATCTCTGAGACGGTTGCAACCTCGGGTAAAATAGGGTGAGAGGTGAAGTCATTGACATAACCCTCACAAATATGGACGACTCTGGTGTTATGAACTGGAAGTGTCTGAACAATGCTCCTTTTCGGATCATAGACTGATATCTTTCCAGATTCCTACCTCCAGAGGAAAACAGAAGTCTTATAGGAATCCTCGGAAGATAAACTGGGACAAATTCAAACCTAAAACAGCAGCCTCAATCCTGGATCATAAAGATCTAAAAACGGTTGAGGATGTTGAAGTAGCTATGAATAACGGCACGGCTACTCTTCTGAAGAGCTATGAAGTTTCTTGTCCCATAACATACCCTGGGAAAAATCTTGTCTTACTAGCATACAATAGAGATGGTAAGACAAAGCTCAGCACAGATTGGGATGTCTCTAAAAAAGACAATTCTATAGGTACAAGAGCGAAATCAAGAAGGCTAAACGTGAGTATTGGGTCTGCTATAGTGAGTCAATCGCAGGAGTCAACGAAGCAGCCAAAATCTATAGGTAGTATAAAGATCCAAAATCTATAGGTAGTATTAAGCGAAGTGATGGAACGTGGACAAACTCTGGCAGTAAGACTCTTGATCTTCTATCGTCAATCCACTTTCCTGGTTGTAAGGGAGGGTGCGCATCAGCCTATAGTTCTAACGAGGGAGGAGAAGTTGATAGAAAATGCTATAAGCTACCCAAAACTGGTATGGGCGATAAATAGTTTTCAACCCTATAAGTCTCCTGGTCCAGATGGCCACGCCACGCTGCAACACGTACTCGTTCATCAGCGTGTTGCATCGTTAGCATCAGCGTTAGCATCTCTGGCACTCTACTCATGCAAGAACTCCATATGTAAGAGCTGGGGATTAAAAGCCGAGATCATACACTGGCTGTATGTGACGATCGCCCTCCTCGTTAAAAAGTACACCACAGGCAGCCTTGAATGCAATCCTGAATCTCCAACCACTGGCTCCGGGAAACAGAGGCTGCATGGAAATCGCTGAACTATGGTCATGCTAGTATCCTAAACTATAAACTCAAAAGCAGTTCATGATTGCAAGTGCGCTATGATATACGACAGATAGTTAGCTTATGTTGGGTTCCATAGCGACATTGAAGGGAATGAGATAGCCGACGAGCTTGCTCGAGGGGGCTCACTGTCGTCCAATCTTCCGATAGAGAGATCTGTGAAACCTCCCGCTCGTTCTACTGCGAGGTAGTCGGCAATAGATGGTTGAGAAAACCTGCTTGCAGAATCTAAAAATTTATCTGGCCTGAATTCCCTAACAAAAGAGCGTCTCCGTAGCTGGCACACAATAAGAGAGAGACCAAAATCATTCTGAGGATCATAACAGGTCACTGCACGATTAGATCTCTCACTTCGAAGTGGGACTCTAGCGGAGAGGATTACTGTCGTCTACGTGAGGACGAAGAATAGCTAGAAACAATTGAACATATCATCTGTAGATGTCCTTGCTGATTAGCAGAAGACATAAACATTTTCGAAGATATGAAATTGATAATCTAGCCTTCTTCTCTAAAATTGAGCCAAACCAGATCCTAGGCTTTGTCAAACATTTGACATGGCTAAAATAACAATTTCTTCGCTCTTCTTCTCTCGCTATCTTTTCTCCTTCTCTTCCACTCCCTCTTTTCTTCTCTTTGCAGGTAAAAAAGGATGATCACAATGGACATTAGTCTCCGAGTGGACGGTTGTTACTAACAACCGTACATCGCTAACCTATCCTAAGGAGTAGATTTTTTAAATTTCATTTTTGAAGTTCCAACCAAGGCGTAGATTTTTATACCCCACACAACTATGTTGTCAGGGTATTATAGCTTTGTGCAGAGTTTGCAACGCCGCGAAATATTGGTCCCACCTTTAAGTATACCAATCGTCATATCTCGACGAGCTGAGTCGATCTAGACATTATAATTTGTAAACACGATACAGGCCCCAGTTATGGACCAATCTTCACGGAATTGTGCATGTAGGATGTGTTCTGGTTCTGGTTGATAAAGATCGGTCAATACTTAGCGGGTCAAATGGACCCTGAGGATCCAGGTATGGTCAAGGACAACGCCTATAATTTTCGGTGATGATCAGATAATAATATTGGAATGAAGTGGACCGAAAACTTTTTTTTTTCGAGTCGGTCTATATGCCGCAATTGAAAGCCGAACATTACAACTCAACCCACTGTGAAGGAAATCTGTGGTACTACATTCTGCACAAGCTCAGAATGTAGTACCACAGAAAGTTAGATTTTCGTGGAAGTTGTGTAGGGTATCATATGGTCGGCCCGTCCGACTATACTGCTCCGCTCACTGGTTTAAAATTCATTTTTGATGTTCTAACCAAGACGTAGAGCCGATCTTTATTTCGTTGAAAATTATAAGATTCGAAGGACTTTCTTCTCTCTGGGTCTGATATAAAAACATCATCTGACATTTAACAGAAAAAAAATATTACGATAAACCAGTCTCTCGCCGCTTCGTCTAAAATATTCAAAAGATCAAAGATCATATTTTGTTTAATGACATTTTAATTTATTAGTGCTGGTTGTAGATTAATCTACGAGAACATTCAATAAATTTAAATGTTATCAATTAATTTGAAACAATATTTAATTTATTTTTTTAATGAAAATGGATTTGTAAATAAACAAATTTTGAATTTTATGTTTTTTTTTTCTAATCAATTTCATAATAAATTATCTTTGATTTGTAGATGTTGAGTTGAATAATGTGAGTGCGGATGTGTTCGGAAAACATACACAGATAACAATTTTATATAGGCAAGCATTTTCTAAATATTTTAATTACGAGGGCCTTACTATGACTTCAGAATCGTTAGGGTATTTTTCATAAAGAGTACATCTTCAAAATAATATAAAATGTGCCTAATGTTAGCTACACCCAAATTATCTACCGATTCTCCTCAAGCCATCATATATTGTTTCTTAATTTTCGTGCAATATTTTCTTTTTTTTGCCAAATGATAAGATCTGTGGTAAAAATATCTGTTTCTCCACCAAAGATGTGTCATCGTCATCATCTTCATTCGTCGGATGTTATCTCACGTTTCATAAATCAAAACGCGCTACCAAAAAATACAAGAAAAGATCTCTGGTTGTCAAAATTTGTGGTTTGTTTAATCACGTTCATTGGGTTAGTTGATTTGGCCACGAAGTTTACGTTCAATATTTGCACTAGTAATTATCTGCAATAATATCAGACATTTCGTACTATTTTTATTGTTACATAGAAATAATTGGAAAGTTTTTTTGTATATTCGAATCTACTTTCCAGTGATTTCCATTCAGCAGCAATGGACATCATAATTTTTTGACAGAATTTGATCAACATGTCAAGTTAGAGCTCGTTAAGTTCCCATATTCCACTTTCATATTTATTTTTACTTCTTTAAAAATTTTTGCATTACCTCACACCAAAATTAGTTAATATTTTCCATGCACTTTCAAGGTCCCAAATATTATGTTGCATTGACCAGGTACCGGTCAAGGTCCCCTTGTCGAGCTCCATTCAAAATATAAATCACCTTAACTTAGAGACTGATATCAGAGGTGCCAAACAGAAAACATTGTTGCCAATTGCTGTTGTATCGCTCTCTACTATCATAAACTCTACGGGGGTATTAGATAGCTAATATACCGTGTCAGACATGCGATTTTATATGTCACTCGGTGAATTCGCATGATGGAATATTTTTCAAATTTAAATGACAAAGTAATTAAATGCGGCTTGGTTTGGAAAATAAAAATAAATATATGTGTGTATAATATTAATCATAGTTATGTACCCTACACCAGGGTACCAATATTTGTATATTCAAATGTTAGTTCGGAGACTTCAGTCTAAAAGTAATTAAATAAGCATATCACACAGACACAGATCTTAATAACTGCGTAGAACTGCAATTTTGCTTGAGAATATTGTAATTTGTATGTCAGGATGTGTTTTATCATCTGGGGAAAATACAGTTAGTATTTTGAATATTTTTTTTAGCTAGAAGTTTTTTTTAAACAAAAAACTTCTAATGCCAATTTACAGACGTTTTGTCTGAAAAACGAACTTAGACCATGCATATACCTAAACTGAATCTGTACCCTAATGTGAGAACTATGCCTACACATAATTCTATCATTATTTCTAATACAGTATAACTTCGATATTTCGTAATTCAAGGGATCAGGAAATTTTTACGAATTATCGAAGATTACGAATTATCGAGATTACGAATTAACGAGGTTAAAATAAAAAAAAAAATCAGAAAAAAAAACAAAAACTTCAATTCATATAGCTTAAATAATTACACTTGATTTAAAAACTGAAATAAATGAAATTAAACATGAAAAACGTCTGTGATATAAGGTTTTTTAAGGCTATTTTCTCGTATTTTATCTACTGAGTTTTCTATATGTATTAAATAGTTAAATAATGATTCGTCAACAGCATGGTTTGATAAAAAAAGTGTAATTTTTGAATTGATGATTTAGCATCTTTTTGTGTCACAACTTCTTCGCGATTGCCAACATCATCGTAATCACTTTCTTCATTTTCGACTGAAACTTGTTCCAAAATATCGTCATCTCCCATGTTAAGGAGCGGGGGAAAGGAAACTACAGAGGACTTGTAAGGTCGAATGTCATTTCAATTCTAATTTTATTATTTAATATTATTCCTTAAGAACTACCTAACCTAATATAACTTAGCCTAATACCCATAAGAGATAACATTGTTCCTATAGATAAGTGTGCTCATTTGTTTACATTACCAAATGAGCACACCAATACCTTTGTGTGTGGGCTGCTATTAATTCTTCAGCTCACCCACTCATAAAACCCCAATGTGGTGATCTCTATTTACTCACCCGCTGCGCGCATGTGTGTGGAGATATCCTTTATTAGCTATGCGTCTTCAGCAGCGTTGAGTGTTATCATCCCTTATGTGCATACATGCACACACAAATAGATTTTAGGACTGCTTATCTACTATTTACGACATATGTAAATGCCTAAAACATCCTAACCTATTACAACCAAATATCATGTTCATATTTTTATGAACATCCCAGATTTCCAGTAACACCAACGCCAACATAAAGAAAAACTAACGGTAAAAGCCGTTGACTGCGCTAAGTGATTGTGTAATTTCGCAAGAATTGTTGACGGTATGCATTTGGTGCGTTAACAGTTGTAATAAAAAGATATTAACAACAAAATTATAACATTTTTATGAAATTATAATTTGTTTTGAGATGAAAAAATTACGAATTATCGAGGGGACCAAAATGCGTGTAAATTTTACGAAATATCGAAATTTTTTTTTTTTTTTACGAATTATCGAAGATTACGAATTTTCGAGGTACGAATTATCGAAGTTCTACTGTATATGTAGTTTGAATATTCGCTTATCTCTTGGCGCTTCAGTTTAGATATTTTCATGGTCTTTCTTCGGAAGGATTTATAGAAACAATTCTTAAAGGATATACTCGGAAATGTTCTGTATAAAGGGAGCTTTTCGTTCATGAATTTGAAGTAGTTCTCAAGATCATTAATTTAAGCTAATTTTCAGCTGCCCATCCTAGATTATTTTCGCACAATAAATCGAATAGAAAAACATAATATGTTCGGAAAGTGGCAACCTATATGAAAATATTATTCAAGTCCTTTGATAACAGTTTCATCCGTCAATCATTAATTATTTTCAAACAGATTATTATTTTTCAGAAAGATATATGGTCCAATGGTCCCATCTTTGGACTTGACCTAAGTTGGGTAAAGATAATAGGATGTACAAAGTTTGGTTGAAATTTTGACCATTTTATGGGGGAGGTACCAAAAGGAATGGATGGATATACCCCATCTTCGAACTTGAGAGACGGACATTTGTAAATCGTCTACAAATTTTCTGAAACGGATTTGGTCCAAAGAAACATGGGGCCTAAAATCAACATTTTGATGAAGCA